CCCCAAAACCCCAAAACCCCAAAACCCCAAAACCCCGTGAAAATTTGGAGAGATTGAAGTGTTAATTATAAATATGGATCAAGAATCGAAGAAACATCTGTAAGTGCAATAGGGGTTAAGTTATAGTATTCAGGATATTAAGCCACGTAAGAAGAGTCACCACGTGGAAAGCTTTAGTATCGAGGACTCTCTTATTGTATCTGTGGAGGTAGATAGCGAGAATGAAATTTCTAAAGCAGATAGAATCAAAGCCCTACTGCTTATGTCAATTTCAGCCTTCTGCTTTATGCTTACAATCAGTCTCTGAAAGTATGGATACCTGATTAATGAGAAGATGAATGGAATGGACTATCTTCTATTCAGAGGAACTATTCTGATGTTCTTTGCAACATTAGAAACACTTTATAGAAAAGTTAACGTGTTTAGAGTTCCAAGAGAGATTTATGTCTCTGTAATATTTCGGTACTTAACAGGATTAGTGGGAATGGCACTCTATTTTTATGCAATTAAGTACCTGCCTATGAGCCAGTCTAATGTTATACTTAGTATAAGTCCTCTGATTACTGCTATCTTAGCGTACTTTTTATTAAGCGAGATCCTCGTTGGAAGAGACATTCTTTGCCTGATTGGGGCTTTTGGAGGAGCTGTTGTTGTCAATGTGTCAAGAATCGGAGAAAAAGGAGTCAGTGAAAGTGAGAATAACTATTTGAAGGGAATTTTGCTCATTATGGTTTCTATAATATTTAGGTCTACTGCTCCAGTAGCTATAAGACAAATGTCAAAATATGTGTCTTCTATCTACTCGCCATTTTATTTTGCTCTTGGGCTTTTCAGCCATTCAGTATTTCTGTTGACATTTTGTAGAAGTTATCTGAATTATGAATACTATAATCTCAAAACAATAATGCTGTTTTCGGGGAGTGCTTTCTCAAACTATATTGCCCAATCATTAATGAGTATTGCTTATAATTATGAAAAAGCAACTGTTCTTGCTCCATTCTCTTATCTTGTCACATGTGGGTTGCTTTTAATTGATTGACTGTTATTCGGATACGATTTCAATATTGTATACTTCCTTGGCTTTACAATGATCCTAGTATGAGTGCTTTCTCCTTTGCTATTCAAAATAAGCAAGAAGTAACTGTTCAAATAGTTTCAAGGCTATGATTTTATCTCACAAGTTGTTATTAAATACGAAGACTCTGTAAATTGAAGAATATTTAAACTCTTGCAAGCTTAAAAACATAAAAAGGGGTTTTGGGGTTTTGGGGTTTTGGGG